TGATGTCCATCAGGAGAGTGATATATGAAGTACTGAGTTAACTAAACTACTATGTCACAATACCTATATTGGGTTAAAGTATCATGGCATAGTGCTTTGAATGTTGGACTACAACTCTGGAGACCAGGGTTCGATTCCCGCTTGACCATGAAACCTACTGGGTGATCTTGGGCAAGACACATGCTCTCAGCCCCAGGAAGGCAATGGCAAACCTCCTCTGAACAAATCTTGCCAGGACAACCCCATGATAGCCTTATAGTTGCTATAAGTCAGAAATGACTTGAAGGCACACAACAGTAACAACAACAAAATCTGCAAAGACCTGAATTAGCTTTCAGATCTCACAAAACTCCTTCTAGGGTTCAAAGATGGAGGGGTGGGACAAGGCATCTAGGTCTAAAGCAGTGTTTCCCAAACTTTGGTCTTCCAGATATTTTGAACTTCAGTTCCCTGAATTCTTGACTGTTAGCCAAGCTGGTTAGGCTTCTTGGAGTTGAAGTCCAAAACACCTGGAGGTACAAAGTTTGGGAACCATTGGTCTAGTATCAACAGATATCAACATTCCTGTCTTGGCTCCATTTGAGGTGTGGTTTTGTTCCTTGTTCAGTCAGTTTGTAACAAATATATTTTGAAGTAATTTTGCAACAACTACCTTGATAAATTTTATCTGAATTTTAAGATGATTTATTTCCCATGTGAGGCCAGCAGTATGCTAAAGATACCAGCATTTCAGAAGGACTCACCTGTCTTAGTCTGCTCTACTTGCTCTGCTTGTAATGGAAACACAGCTTTCTATATGAATTCAGTATCCTCCATCACAGCTGGCCATGAAGCTATAGTAAAGTTTGCTTAGAGAAAAGCTTCTTCATTTCTTGCAACAAGACACTTGCCAAGTCATTGTAGAAAGATAAGATAAGATGATAAGAGAAAGCAGAGATGGCCCTTGTGCATATTGAAAATGCAGGGTAATCATGTCCAACTATCAATGACCTCAGAGCAGGTGTGTGTGTGTGCATGTGTGTGTATATATATATATCAGCAAAATCAGAATTAATATTTATTTTAAAAATTTATGGTATAATTGGACTCAATTCTTCTTCTTCATATACAGGCAAGTGCAGCAGTATTTAATCAATCCATTGACCAGATTAAGTGAATGGTCAATTAACTGTTTAACTAGATGGATTAAAACACTTTAATACATGGAAAAAGCTACCACCAATTAATTCATTACTTTTTTTTTTATAGGTACTTATAAAAAGTGCAGATGGAGAGCCCTGTCTTAGAAGAAGTGTTCTCACCTATGTGTAAGAGAAAGGGAGAATGATAAAATGATGCCTGCTGTGATATAACAAAAACATAAAGCTTGTTTTTATTTTTAAAACCATATTCTCATTTGCACATTTATGCAGGTTTAATTGATTAATTGATCTGCAAGATGTTAGTAATTGGGTGATATCTCTGCTTCAGATATTTCACCCCAACAGTTGCATATGGAGCAATACTCTCTTTCCCCCCACCTCTGCAATGCTGCATAGCTTTAAAAGGCACTACTTTAAGAGTTCAAAGATATAGCTGTGTTAGTCTGTAAAATCAGTATGTAAAGAGATCTTGTAGCACCTTTGAAACTAACAGAAAGAAAGACATTGGCAGTATGAGCTTTCGTAGACTTAAGTCTACTTCTTCAGATACCAAATGCATCAGAGGAAGTAGGCTGAAGTCTATGAAAGCTCATGCTGACAACGTCTTTATTTCAGTTACGTACTGAAAGGTGCTACAAGATCTCTTTACACACTATAAGATTGTGAGGACTGAAGGAGAATCATATGATTTAAAAGTAGCGTGATAGAGCCAATACACAGTTCTTAAGGAACCATTCCTTTCACCCACAGTGGCATCAAACTGGTTTATTTCTGCAATATAGCAGTGGTGCTAGATAACAGACTTGGAGAAAGGCTTTGGATCATCCATCTCTGTCTTTTCAACTAAACATCTGATAAAGTTTAGCTCAGTCTTTTTTGACTTGTGTAGGGCAATAACATTTTCTTCCTAAGTTACCATGAGAGCAACAACCACAGTGGTGTCATCGTGATAAAATGCAGGCCTGGGTTTAACATCCACTGTGAACCGGTATTGTTGTCTCGCTAAAACTATTTCAGAATGTTGAAAATTAAGAACTGTTATATGAACTTGTGAGGACACATTTATTCAAGAATTTACTAAATTCAAGCAATTGAATGATCACAATGTTTTCTCTGTTCTTTCCTTTACATGTAATTTCTACTTTGCATGTTATGCACCTATCTGCTGCTGACCTGTGACTAACCTTGTCACATTTTTCTTTCTCCTGTATGATTTTTAACACTTTTGCCTAATGAAGAAGCCAGTAGAACTTTGAAAGCTTGCAATATGTATTTTGTGCATTTTGGTTGCTCCGATTAAGATATCACTTTTTTTGTGGATTTTGGATGTTATTGTTCTTTGCTGTATGGCCAACACAGCTACCCCTGGATATATTTTCTGCTTGTTATCTATGTATCTGAGAACAGCTAGAAACCAAGGGAGTCTCATTTTTGCTTCGTTCAATTCTATTGTTTGAACTGTAACAACCCTAGGGACCAAATTCCAGCTGTGCTAATGAAACTAGTAATTAAAGATACTTTAGACAATTAGCTAAACAACTTTATTGTTGTACTACTCACATCTGTTCAAGAATCAATATTTGGCCAATTAGAACTTTTTTTTTAGCTGAACTGTTTCTTTTGACATTGTTACTTCTTATTTAGAAAGCTTTATTCATACATCAAAAGGTATTCCTTCTAAAAGATTTTTTTCTTTTGCAAAACCTCCATAACTGTTAAAGGTCTGGGTAATAATGCTCATACTTTAGGGCACCAGGTGTCACCAATCTCTTATTTTTACAATTACTTTTACTGTAGTATAATAAGCTCAAAGGTATGTTTTTTCAAATAACATGGTCAAATCCATAGCATTATGGATAGTAATCAGTTTTCTGATTCCTATGTCAGTGCCTTAGGAAACTGATGCTGGAGTTTTATGGACTCCTCTTGATATATTTGCAGTCTTTTTTATGCTCAGATGTCAGAAAATAGAGGGGGAAGAAAAACATTTCTGCGTATGTTGCCAGACTGAAAACTGGAGAAGGCTCCTGTCCCTTCAGTGGTTTTGTAGACACCTGCTGAAATTTCCTCTTCAACACAATAATTAAAAGTAAAGGAGTTGTATTCAGTTTTCACTTTGGGAACCCTAATTTTGCAGGTAAATTTATACGCCGAATATATTCTATTGACTGTCTGTGTGCACACCAATACATTGGAGGTTCCTTATTGCTCATTCAGTATTAGCATAATTCTAGTTCAAATTGAAGAGTTAATCTGGGTGAATTGCAACAGTCCATTTTTATTAAGTACAGCATCAGTAGATATTTATACTAAGTGCGCTTACACATGTCTTTACATTGCACCTGCCTAATGTATATTAGCAGTGCCTGTCCTCAATATTTCCTGGATTAGATGCCCCTGCTTGTCTGCTTTACCAGTGCCTATCTGTATCATGTTCTGAAGAACAACTCAGTAGAGTCAATCTGAAAGAATGGCATAAATCTGCAACCTAAATTTTCTTTTCCTCCCACAGATCTTCCCCCCAGGGAGATTTTCAACAGTGGATTACTCAGTTTTTACTCACAATATCAATTGCTATTGTTTTGCATGACAGCAAATTCGGGCTCACCGATAGTCAAACACATGTTCTGGGAGAGATCAGGAAATTTGGGAAGTGACTGGGGAAGAAGCATATTATTTTTTGTTCATCACTTTAATAATAATAATAATAATAATAATAATAATAATAATAATAATAATAATAAAATTTATTTCTATCCCGCCCTTTGGGAAAACCCAACCAGGGCAGCTTACAACAGTAAAACAGTATACAATACATAAAATCCAAAAATTATTCCCTCCCCCCTTAAAACAGTATTACACTTGGGATCTAGTCAGTGAAGGGTACCACTTGAATTATTGATAATTCAACCCCACTCACTTATATCAGGCGGTCATACTTCTTGAAATCTGATAGTGCCAATATTCATTATTATTTTGCATCCTAGGGATTCAAGGTGTCTTCATTGAATCAAAGGCCTGTATTTTGGCCTTCCTTGAATATTTATTTTGTATTGATCTCTGGCTTACATTCTTTGAGAGTCATGTAAGAATGCAAAGTCTTACCTTAATCTTTGTTTGTTGGATATCTAATAATATGTAAAAGCAATAGCACCAACTGTCATCTTTCTGGTGCCTCCATCTGAGACTTGAGTCAATCTCTACAGTCAGTCTTGAAAGAGATCCCATTGCCTGATTTGTACAAAAGTGGCATGGTCTCCTCACACAAGGCCAATGCTATTCTGTCCCATACACACAAGGGCAAAAAGCTAAATCCAGTTGCTAGTCTGAACTAGAGTAAAATCAACTTTAATCAGTGGGATTTATAAAAATGTATAGCTAACAATTGAGCCAAGGGATCTAGAATCATAAAATCATAGAATCATAGAGTTGGAAGAGACTGGCCATCCAGTCCAACCCCCCTGCCATGCAGGAACTCCCAATCAAAGCATCCCCGACAGATGGCCATCCAGCCTCTGCTTAAAGACCTCCAAGGAAGGAGACTCCACTACTCTCCGAGGGAGTGTGTTCCACTGTCGAACCGCCCTTACTGTCAGGAAGTTCCTCCTAATGTTGAGGTGGAATCTCTTTTCTTGCAGCTTGCATCCATTGTTTCTGGTCCTAGTCTCTGGAGCAGCAGAAAACAAGCTTGTTCCCTCCTCGATATGACATCCCTTCAAATATTTAAACACGGCTATCATATCACCTCTCAGCCTTCTCTTCTCCAGGCTAAACATCCCCAGCTCCCTAAGTCGTTCCTCATAGGGCTTGGTTTCCAGACCCTTCACCATTTTGTTCCCTTTTGATAAGATGGTTCCTTTTTTGATGGTGTAGTAGTTTGCATGTTGGACTATGACTCTGGAGACCAGGGTTCGATTCCTGCTTGGTCACAAAACTCACTGAGTGACCTTGGGCAAGTCACATGCTCTCAGCCTCAGGGGAAGGTAGTGGCAAACCTCCTTTGAACCAGTCTTGCCAAGAAACCCCATGACCGGTTCATCTTAGAGTTGCCATAAGTTGAAAATGAGTTGTAGGCCCATAACAATAACAAGGTATAGGACTTACAATGACCCATGGATAGATCAACTCAGATTTTGGGGGTCGATTATTTTACTAAAATTTCTAGACTTATACATGAGTAGGTACAATATATCCTAAGGACTTAAGGTTTGGTCTGGAAATAGCAAGCTTTCTTTTCAACCTTAGCTTCTAAATGACAGAAGAACATGTATCTTTGGCAGAAATATATCTACCTTTTAACCTACTGATTGACCTGGTAAGCATAATTGGGCCAGTTAGGTATTCTTTAAGGCACAGGAAAATGAAGATCCTTCTCCTTAACCCAATATGGGAAAAAACTGAGACAAGATGGCTAATGGTTCATAAAAGCAGTAAACTTATTGACTAATAGAATTCTTAGTCATGAAGCCTCCATGTTCCATACGTACGAGAATCAAAGCAATTTACTGATTTAAGTAAAGCTGAAATCTATAGAGCAGAAAATGCTTGTTTTAACATAAGATTGGACGAAGGTGAATGACCTGTAAAACCTCCGGTAATGAAAGCTCTTCACAGCTTGTAGTGTTTCACTAAATGGTAATTGCTTCAGTCTGTGATATAGATCTGGCTGTGTTAATGATGCACTGTTCCTTTTCATAGGACTGATTTAAGTTTCACATTTTTCCCCCCACCGATTTTTGAGAAACAAGGCAGAGCAGAAATTATGAATATGGACACTTTATCATTTTGCAAATTTAAAATATTATTAAAAATTTTATACTTAAAAAAAACCCCAAAACCCACCCATGAATCAAATAAATTTGGGACATCTAATCATTTAAATATACAAGCCAGAAAGAATAAATCTTTGTAAGGTTTGCAGAAAAGGAGCACATTTTGGCACAGATGCAGGTGGAAAGGAAATGATGGTATATTGTTTCCCTTCTCCTCCCATCTTTTCCCATAAGGATCTTGTGTTTAAAAAAACAAAACTGTGTGCTGTCCTATGGATTTGGGCCGGGGAGTGTTCTGTAATCCTATAGATTGTCATTGCATCTTGAACTTCAGCATGTTTTTCAAGAAATTTGGATTTGGATCAACAGTTGTGGGGGAAAGCTCTCCTTCACAGCTAAATAATCACAAGTAAAAGGGCTAACAAAGTGACTGAGTTGAACTGGCATTAAGTTTTAGTGATGGAATTGGCAGAAAGGTCTGTTCTGGTGGCTTCTGAAATGCTTTTGAAGACATCTAATATATAATTAGTTCTTGAGGGACAGGGCTCAATTTTCTCCCCAAAGTGTAATTTTCTCTGGATGAAACAGGAGGCTCCTATCCAAGGAGGACCAGAGTTAATTTCTTTCGGTGACCTACAAGGCTGATCTGGCCTGGCCCCTGGCCCCATTGAACAAGAAGGTCAGGCAGAAAGACTAGAAAAGACTGGGAGTAAATAATAAAGGGCTTTTTGCCACTTAGAGTTTGAACAAGACAGAAATGGCATTTCCAGTTAACTTAATCTGTCTGAATAGAAGCAACAGAATTCAATTACTGTACCTGTTAACACTGCCCCTAGGGATAAATGTTTTAAATCTTCCTATGAAGTTCATACTCAAAACGCTTAAGTCCTATTAATGGCTGCCTATGTAGCTGCATTACCACAATAGAGATTTGGGAGTTTGTCTAATAGCCAACATCCCTATCCCTCTGTTTTGTATGTAGCTCTGCAATTCAAGGTAAATGTCTTGGCATGTGTTCACAAGGAGGTCTCTTGCTCTCAAGGCCCAGTTTAATAATAATAATAATAATAATAATAATAATAATAATAATAATAATAATAAATTATTTATATCCCACCCTTTGGGGACCCAATCCGGGCGGCTTACAACAATAAAATCACATGAGATATCCAAAAACAATCCCTCCCCCCCTTAAAACAGTATTAAAACAGTATTATTTAGTCTTCCTTTGTTGTCCTTTGAAAGCCACAGGTCAACATACATTACGTCTACAGTGTATGTGAATGCACCCCAAGAAAGGTAGGAGATGATGGTGATTATATTATTGTTGTTGTTGTTGTTGTTATTGTTATTGTTATTGTTATTGTTATTGTCAGTGAGTTTTGAGACACAGAGTGGTGCTTACATGTCCAATGTTCAGTTGAATGATGGTGTTCAGAAAGTAAACTCGTGTTGATTGTTCCATTCCAAAATTTATGGTAGGGTAGAAATTGTTGATATTCTGGTGGAACATTTCAGTTGATTCCTTTCTATGAGTCCAAATGATAAAAATGTCTTCGATGTAGAGCCAGCATGGCATACTGGTTTGAGCATTGGACTCTGGAGACCGGGGTTCAATTCCCAGCTTGGCCAGGAAACCCACTGGGTGACCCAGGGCAAGTCACACTCTCTCAGCCTCAGGGGATGGCCATGGCAAACCCCACTGAAGAAACTTTCCAAGAAAAAGCCATCATAGGGCCTCCATGAGTTGGAAATGACTTGAAGGCACTCAGCAACAACAAAATTATAAAATCATAGAATGTTATAGTTGTAAGGGACCACAAGGGCTGTGTAATCCCATCTTCTGCCACTCTTTAAAGATGCCCAGGTGTGTGTCTGTGCTACATTTTCATCTTTAACTTTTAAAATGATTTTACATTGCTTTAAATAATAGGTGTTTTACCATGTTGGCTAGTTTAATTCGTTGAAAACTTTTTAATAGTTAGTTTTTTAGATGTACCTTATTTTAACCTTGTTGTAAGCTGTCTCCGTTCCCATATTGTGGGAAGGGCAGGACTTGCATGAAGTCAATCGCTGTCCTGTTATCCTCTTTTCCTGTTGAGTTCTGGAGTGGGACATGCAGATTCCTCTGGGATATTTTGCTCTGGTGATAAAAGAAGAGGGCTCTTTGCTCCTCTTTCCACATACATGGTAGAAAAAAGTGAGTTCTTATTTAAAGAAACCCTTTCTGCAAGTGCTGGAAGTGCTGCCTCTCCCAGTTCCATCGACAGCACCTGACTGAGCCACATTTCAGCAACTAATGAGTGTGAGTTTAAAAAAACTTAAAGCCTTTTCCGGCAAGCTGGTGACTGACACAAATGGAGTTCATATTTAATCATCTGTTAACTCGTTGTCTATTATAGCTCTTTAATAGCACCATAGATATTCTTAATGAAGCATGATTTAAGGTATTTACAGCTCTAGGACCGACAGACATCACTCACAGTGTGCAGGTAATGAGGCATAAAACAGTTCTCGGAAACTGTAAAAAAAGAGAGAGAGAAAGAGAGAAAGAGAGATCAGGCAAGGAGGTAGAAGCTGAATTGTTCCAAGGTTTGTTTTAAAATGTTTAGGCATTTAAAGTCATTTTAGCTTTTTAGAGGTGTCTGGTAGCACTGGGTTCAGCAATTACAGCCGCTGTGCATCTCCCATCATAGTGAAGGAGTTCATGGTGCTAATACTCATCTTTAACTTTTTTTTTCTGAAGCAAAATAATGGTTCCTCGTTGCTGTGGCAGTTTAAAATGTGTCACTATCAGAGAGAAAGTGATGGAGAGAGAGAGAGAGACTACCATTTTCTCACATACTTGTTTGTGCAGCCAAGGTTTCCTACAAACTTCATGGGGCTGGCGCTTAACAGCGGAGTAAATGGTGATCTCAGTCTCTGGGACTGAATACATTATTATTAATTTGGGGAACACAAAGAAGTAGATTCCAAAGATATACTAGAAACTATACTTATTAAAACCTAGTATCCCTTAGGATACAGGAATTTTCAGTTGAACATACAAGCTTGTTTTAACTGAGTTTTGATGAGACGTACAACTTTACTGCACGAGAAAAGAAAAGTGGATCGGGAGAGTAGTGGCTTTCTCTGTGCCGCCCTACATGCTGTTGTAGCACTTCTGTTCTCTTCCCAAGGGAAGATGGTTGTCAAAATGTGGCTTTTGCCGAACTGATTTTCCCATCCAGCAAAAGGCATGTTTTGATGTCCCCTTAGGACAAGAAGAGAAGTGCTATGATGTTGTGTGGAATGGCATGGAGAAAGTGCTACTCTCCCAATCTGTTTTGACTTTCTTTTTATGTGCAGTAAAGTCCCAAATCAGATGTCCTGATTCTAAACACATTGCCCTTAAACCTAATTGTTAGTCCCAGCTAAGAACAGGGACAATAAATCAATGGGAACTTGGTAAGCTAACACCTATGTAAATGAAGTCAACTGAATGGGTGTACTCTAAGTTGGGACTAACAATTGAATTGGACTTTCTATTGATAATTTCTAATGAACTTCTGAGAGACATTCCTCATTTCTTCATTCCCATTCTGGTATTTTCTATTCCTTCAAGGGAATATATATTGATGTAGAAGATTGATGTTCCTGGGATTTCATCCAACAGCATATCCGAAAGATGTCGGATACTGGTTGTCTTTACAGTACTGTATATGATGTGTGTGTATGCATGCCTTCAAGACACCTGTTGACTTATGATGAGCCCATGAATTTCATAGAGTTTTCTTAGGCAAGGAATGCTCTGAGGTGGTTTTGCCAGCTCCTTTGTCTAAAATATAGCCTCCAGTCCATGGTATTCATTGGAGGTCCCCTATCCAAGTACTAACCAGAGCTGATCTTGCTTAGCTTCCAAGATCAGATGGGATCTGGTGCTTTTAGAGTATTTAGGGCCTCTATGATATGCACAGCAGGCATAATAAGATTTTGCAAAGAAGAATTGCATGCAAGAGTGAAAGTCAAAGAAAAGCTGAAAGTACATAGTTTTCCTTACTTGATGCAAGAAGTAATGCCACATTCTCTGCTGAATACAGTTGCAGCAACAACCTGGGGGGAAAAAAGCATGAGCTAGTCATCAGATACCTTCATATCTGTCTTCTCTCCCATATATCTGCTG